GTCCTTCCACACCAGGGATCACCGCGAGGCTGTGTCATTCAAGATGTAGAGGTTTAGACACTGATGCAGAAAGACAGCCACACTTAGTAAATGAAAAAAGCAGGTCACAAAACTATAGCATATAAAAGCTTTTTTTTTTTTTTTTTTTGGTCCAAATACATCTATTTTTATGAATGTGTAAAACATCTGAAAGGGATAACCAAAATATTTTTACTTTTCCTGTATGTACTAATTTTTTATTAAAGAAAACGCAGCTGTGTAACACAGTAATCAGGGAAATAAATATTCTTTAAAAAAATTCACCCTGTTTTTTGGGAGGCTCCCGGGAGACTTGTCACACATGTGCTGGCCCAGGCCTCAGGATGAGAATTCCTCTCTTCTAAGGGGGGAGACCCAGGTGGCAAGGGGAGAGGCAGGTCTGTGTGTCCCATCTAGGCCTCTGAGCTGAGGTCCTCCTGGAACCCTGCTGGCCACTGTCCGTCTGCAAACCCTCGGGCTGGGGATGCACGTTGGGCAATCAGGATTTGGGGACACACGCACCCTTACTTGTCTGCACTGGCAGAGCAGCACCGGATGGAGAAGAGGCCAGGCCGGGCCTCGAGGTCTCAGATTGCACCTCTGCCCCCAGCTGGACGTCCCTCCCCAAGGCCCCTGCCCAGCCTCCCCCCTCGGGCTTCGGCTCAGGGTGGGGTTCCCAGGCTCACACTGCTGCCAGGTCTCACCGCTGGGCTGCTGGCGAGAGGAGCTCTCTCGGGGTCCCCGCAAGCCCTTCCCTCTCCCACCAGCCAGGCCACTAGCTGGGGGCCACAGTGCAAGTTGTGGGCCTAACTACCAGCTGGAAGGAAGGTCTTGGGCGTTTTCCCAGGGAGACAGCGTGTCCGCAGCTGCGCCAGGGACCTGATGACTTCGTGAATGTGTGTGTGGACTCACGTACATGTGCACATATTAGGGTTGTCAGATAAAATCCAGGACACACATAGATTTGAATTTCAGATAAATGAATAGCTTTTTGTGTTTTTTATTTTAATATGTCTTTATCGATTTCAGAGAGAGAGGAAAGGAGAGGGAGAGAGAGAGAGAGAGAAACACCAATGATGAGAGTCATTGATCGGCTGCCTCCTGCAAGACCCCCACCGGGGACTGAGCCCGCAACCCGGGCATGTGCCCCGACGCGGAAGTGAACCATGGTCTCCTGGATCCTAGGTCGATGCTCAACCGCTGAGCCACATCAACCAGGCATGGGTAACTTTTTAGTATAAGTATGTCCCGAGTGTTCTCCTGCGTATTTATTTGCTAACTCCAGCAGGCCTGACATATGGAAATGTGTGTGAAAATGTATGAGTGTGTGCACTGTGTAAGAGCACACATAGGTGTATGTGTACAAACGTGTGTACACATACACCTGGGCGTGTGTGCACTGGATGCAGGTGGGGAGGCTTTACTGTGGGCGTGAGCCCCATTTCTGGTACCATTCTATCTGCAGGTGTGCATGTGACGTTACCTGTGTGCGCATGGGAACGTGTGTGCGCCTATGTGTACTGGCACCAGAGCACGTGAGTGTCACACACGGGAGCGTCTGTGTATGCGCATGCTATAGAGTCTTAGAGCAGGAGGAAGCAGAGCTCTCCCGTGGGTAAACTCACCTGTGGGACACCGAGGCTGGCCAGGCAGCGAGGCTGGGGTGTGTGCACCAGCTCTACCCTCGTGCCAGGCACCGGGGCCCAGCGTCATCGCCCCCGTGACAGCCCTCTGTCAGGTGGCCCCTTTCGCACGCGGGGAGGGCGGGTGGAGCGCGGCCAGGGCGCGGGCCTCTCGGCGCCCGGCTGAGCCCGCGGCTCCCACGCGGGTTACATGAACACCAGGCCGAAGCGCAGGCCAGGTGTCCAGTCTCTTCCTGGAGCCAGACGGCAGCTGGCCTGGGAGTTCGTGCACCTTTTAGCTCCCGCTGTCCCCTTCTCCCGCTCCTCCCGGGGTTTTCCCCAGGCAGGGAAGGACATCGATCGTCCTGGACCAATTGCCTAGCCGGGAAAGTGGCTTTCCCTGGGCAGGGGCTCATCTCCCCCGAGCTGGCGTCTGTGGCTTCACCATGTGGAGGGCTTTGGGGGACTCGGAAGCAGCTTGGCCGGGCAGCACTGTGGTGCCCCCAAACTCACCTGGTGTGTGTCCCAGTCTCCGCCGAGCCTCGCTCTTCCTGCGGTGATGGGTGACAGCCAGCTGACCTGATAAACCTGCTGTATTCCCAGGCCCACTAGAACAAAATACCAGCCCCGTGGCTTAAACAGCAGAAACGTGTTTTCCCACACGCGCAGTCCTGGGGGCTGGAGGTCCTTGGCTCGGAGACGCCTCTCCCTGCGTCCTCACCCGCCCTCCCTCTGGGTGTGCCTGTGTCCAATTTTCTCTTCTTGTAAGGACACCTGTCCTATTGGATCGGGGCCCACCTTAATGACCTCATTTTAACTTAACCACCTCTTTAAAGGCCCCAGTTACAAATACAGCCACATTCTGAGGTCCTGGGGGTTAGGGTTTCAACACATGAATTTGGGGAGGGAGATACAATTTACCCATGACACGCTCGATGGTGTGTTCTGGGCGAGGGCGTCTCCACCCCTGGCCCACCATCACCTGAACCCCACTTCCCGCTCTTTATTTCGGCAAATGAGAAGTTTACTGGAGGTCAAATGGAGACACTGTGAAGATCCAGGTGGGGGGACCTCGTCAGCCCCCCTCTCCCCACTTGGAGAACCACTTTGGACAGCAGGGAGGGGAAATGACAGCTCAGGGCACGCAGGACGGGAGGGGTCCATTCACCTTTGCCCCTTGCCCATCTAGGGCCTGGAGCCAGGGAGCCTAGAGGGCAGTTCAGGGGAGGCTCCATAGTGCCCGGGGCACTCTGTGTGACCCTGACACCCTCTCTGGGCCTGTGTCCCCATTTGTGAAAAGAGGCTGCTGGGCGGGATGATTCTAGAGCCCTCAGGTTGGATGGAGCGGCCGTGGGGCTCGAGGCCGCCGGCGGGTGGGGTCGACTGTGCCAGGCGCCTGGGCTACCGTCTGATCACCACTGTAACCGATCTCCACAAGCCTAGCGGCTTAAAACAACACCAATTCACTATCTTACCTACCGTCTGGGGTCGGAAGTCAACACCGGTCTCACAGGGGTAAGATCAAGGTGCCGCAGCTCTGGTTCCTCCGGAGGCTCCAGGGGGAACCCGGCTCTGGGCCTTTCCCAGCGTCTAGTGGCACCTACATCCTCGGTTGGTGGCCTCTTCTTCCATCTTCAAAGGCAGCGTCGCAGACCGGGTCCTCTGACCTCTCTCCCTCCTCCCCTTCCACCTCTAAGGACCCCTGCGATCCCATTGGGCCCACCTGGGTCAGCCGGGCTCGTCTCCCGATTTTAGTCAGTGATTAGCACCCTTAGCGCCACCTGCCACCTTTATTCCCAATGCCATCTAATGTATCGTAGTCGCAGGTTCCGGGGATCAGGATGTGGGCAGATTTGGGGGGCCATTTTTCTGTTTACCACAACACACCCATTCGTCATCAGTTCCTCCCCATCCGTGGGCCGTGGGGACTGTCATTGTCACCCGTGATTTACCTGCAGCTGGCAAGGTTTATAACCCCCACTCCCACGGGGGGCGGTAGGGCAGGGTTTCGAGGCCGCAGCTGCCCGACTAGAAGGCCTGGCTCACAGCTCCACTGGCACCACCTGGGCTTCGCTCCTGCCCTCCCTCCCCACCTCAGGCTTCAGGCCTCGGCAGGTTTGGGCACTTGGCCCTGGGGCTGTGTCCAAACCTTGCCCAGCTGGCATGGCTCAGAGGTTGAGCATCGACCTGGGATCCAGGAGATCGCTGTTTGATTTCCGATCAGGGCACATGCCCGGGTTGCAGCTCAATCCCTGGCAGGGACCGTGCAGGAGGCAGCCGATCAATGACTCATCATTGATGTTTCTCTCTCTCTCTCCCTTTCTCACTCTGAAATCAATAAAGATATATTTTAAATAATAATAATAAAGAAACACCTTGACCTTGAGACAGGCAGGCTAAGACCATGAGAGAGACCCGAGGTTCCAGGGAGGAATCAGCCTTATTCCTCACTGCCTCCTCCCTGGGGGTGGGACAGACCTTCCAGGGGGTGAGACATGAGACACAGCAGCAGCTGGGGAAAGGAACCCCCTTAATCCCCATGGTTGGGAGAGGAGATCGGAAGCCAGCACTAGGCCTACCGCAACCTGGGCAGGTGCCCACNGAGCAGCAGCTGGGGAAAGGACCCCCCCTTAATCCCCATGGTTGGGAGAGGAGATCGGAAGCCAGCACTAGGCCTACCGCAACCTGGGCAGGTGCCCACCTCTAGGTTCCACTCCCCACCGACACCTGCCCATCCAAGCCCCAAGGCATCCTGCCCCGTCCAAGAGTGCCCGGGGGAGGCGAGTGGTCTTTCCTGGGGTAGGGCAGGGCGGGGGATGGCCCAAGCAGCTCACTCTTGCTTTCACAATCCTGCGTGCCAGGTCCCCTGCTGGGGTTGTGGGCCTCACAGGGCGGCAGCCCATCCCCAGCCCAAAGCTAGAGCCGGATCCTTGGGCTTGACCGTGCCTGCCTGGTCACTTTTCTGTTTCCCCAGGGGTAGGAACCAAGTCAGCAGGGAGCAGTGCGGAGTCTGGAGACCAGAGGGTCTTGGCCTCCAGGGGGGATCTCTATCAGCATCACAGTGAGAGTGGCCAGTATAGGGTTTGGGGGATGGAGGGTGCCCCAAACAGGGGCCTCAGGGAGAAGAGACCAACCAGCCTGGGAAAGTCCAGGAGCCCATTGCTCCCTGACCAGCTGACACCATGGCCTATCTGGAAATGAAGAAATCAGCTCCCCTAACCCTAACCCCCTCCCCCACCCATGTAACAGAGACTCCACCCCTTTCCCCCCACCCTTGTTGGCAGAGACTCCCCCCACATTGACAGAAATTCTCCTGCCCAGAAACCCGCATCACACAAAGAAAAACCACTCAGGAGCGGGTCCCCTTGCATATCATCTGTATTGTCACATGAAATGCACATACATAACAGTTGACTTGGAAACGACCTATTAGGTCACATGGAGTCCGGCCCCTGAGGGCCAAAGTGGCACTGATGCCCACAGGCTGTGGGCTCTCCACAGGCGGTGGCACTGGTCGGCGCTGGGAGAGGCCAACTTACACCTCAGGCCCTTCGGCTCCTGGACAGCATCTCCCAAAATGAGCTTGAGGAAATGGCAGTTTCGTAGGGGTTAATAGCTATTCCACGAGAAAAGGGTTCTGTGGTCAAATAAGCTTAGGAAACATGGTACACAAGGTTCCGCAGGGAGCTTTTCTGCAGGACTTGTCAGAGCCTTTATGCCAGTAACAACCCCTGTCAATGTCCAACGTGGGGCAGAGGATGCAGCATTTCCCAAGTGTATTTGACCACAAAACCCTTGTTCTTCCCGGGCTGGTGTCCAGTGGGGCACCTTTGGAAGGTGCTGTCCTAAGCTATCGATGACCGATAATGGCACCTGTGTTGGGTGGTAAGGTTGGGGTATTTTGCCAGGCATTATACTGTGGCACGGCGGGCACAGCCAAGAACTCAGCAGTCACGATGATGAAAGGACAAGACGAGACTCGGCCCCTCTCCTGCCGTCATGGGTCTCACCTGTTACCTGCAGCGCAGAAGCCAAGCAGGGCTGTCCCCACGCTGGGCCTTGGCACAAGAGCAGGGGCAGTGGTGCAACCAGGCATGCCGGCCACCGGTGGGCCCGCACGCGGCCCCCAGCCTCCAGCCCAGAGGGAGCGGAGGAGCTCGAGCCGCACAGTCCACCCCGAGGGGGCCTCGCCGCTCGCCGCTCCCGGGGCCGGGGCGGGCTCACCAGGCGGAGATGAGCATCTGGCAGGTGTTGGAGGACATCCAGACCAGCTCCACCAGGCGGAACTGGAGGTAGCCGATGATGAAGCCCGACACGACGTCCGTGATGTGGTGGCGCCCGATCATCACTCGTGACAGCCCCACGCAGAAGGCCCAGAGCACCAGCAGGACGCGCAGGGGCACCGCCAGCACCAGGTGGCTGAGGAAGAACTTGGACACCATGGCCGCGCGGCTCGCGTGCCCCGCGGGGAAGGCGTAGACGTCCATGGTGAGGTAGTCCAGCAGGCTGGGGCTCGTCTCGAACGGGCCGCGCCGCTTGATGAGCTTCTGCACGCCGGCCACCGTCATGATGTCCAGGAGCAGGGCTGTGGCAGGGGACAGGGGCCCGGGGGGGCTGTCAGTTCCGCCTTCCTCCCGTCTCCCCTCCCCCAGCCTTCTTCGCTCCGGCCACACCGAGCTCCAGCAGGTCCTACCTCAGGGCCTTTGCACGTGCTGTTCCCGCCACCTGGAATGCCCTTCCCGGGGATGTTCACACAGCGCACTCCCTCCCTCTTCCAGCACAGATGCCTCCCCTGACCACCTGTTTACAAAAGCGCTTCCCCCCCGCTATTCCCCCTCCCTGCTTTATTTATTTTTTTACAGCATTTCGCACGCCCCGCATGTCGCCCATTCCCTCACCGGTTTCTCTCACCTCCCGTCCCCCTACAATGTGCACTCCCGAGGGACAGGGCCAGGTTTGCTCTCCGCTGGGAGGCGGTCAACAAAGCTGCTGAATGAGAGTGGGGATCGGGGCTCATGGGCCCCCGAGGGCACCTGGAGGATCTGAGTTCTGGCAAATGGGACCCTGGGCTGGTGATTTTCCTCAAAGGGCCTTACTGAAGCCCCTGCCAATCCTGAGAACAGGACATCACCGTCCCCATTTCTTTAAAGTGGAGGTGAAACTCATGTGATACACAACCAACCATTTTAGGTGCACAGTGCAGGGGCATTTGGCACATTCACAGGATGCAACTACCTCAAAGTGAACCCTGCAGCCATTAAGCAGCCACTGCTCGTCCCCCCCACCCCGCCCCGCTGCCCCC